AAGAGAGAGAGAGAGAGAGAGAGAGAGAGAGAGAGAGAGAGAGAGAGAGAGAGAGAGAGAGAGATTATTTTTAGCACACGACCACCGATCTTTATTAACAAATGAACAGGAGGGAGGAACAGGGAAATAGATATAGATAGATAGATAATATACATATAGAGAGAGTGAGAATGAGAAGCATGTGTTATCGTCACTATAAATAGCCATCATAATTTTGTTTACGTTCCAGTGAGCTTATCGACAGTTAAGCTCAATGCGTCGGCGATATTAAATTCTTTAGGAGCGTAAACAATTTCCCGATATACCAGTTACCGGATGTGACACTGACTGCCAAAATACACGTTGAGAGAAAAAGAAATGAATACCTGTGATTCTCCATATCCAAAAAAAAAAAAAAAAAAAAAGGAGGGGGGGTGGGGGTCAGACAAGCAATTCTTTGATACAAACATTTGACATTTTTTCCCTCTCTGAAGCGTATTTAAAAAGGAATTCACTTTCGATACCCGCGGGAACAACGGCGTTTTATTGGAGGAATACTGGATGACAAAGGATAAAAAGATGTTTCCTATTCGTAAGGAAGCTAAAAAGGTCTATCGATTACTGAATATTCCTTTCCTTTCTTTGTTTTAAGAACCCTTCAACTCAGAAGTTAAAACACATCACACTTTTTCCAAAAATGACACTGGTTATAAGCAATTCAGTGTTATCATAAGCCTATATCCATTCCCATTTCACAATCACCTCCATAACAAGTCTATAATTAAGTGGACTAAGGCACTCGAATACCTTGTTCAAGAATTCGAGGGGGGGGGAGGTGCCGATCCTTAGATTTTGTCAGTCGAAACCGTCGGGTCATCTGACGTGGCAAATCGTTGTCTTTTGCAAGAGACACAATGCCAAGCTATTCCAAATAGAAAAAAAAATCGTTTGGAAATGAAGAATAAATTTGCATTCTTATGGACGACCTACCTTCGATTTGGTGTTTGGCGATGCAGGCAGTCGTGGAAATGGTCCTCGTGGCAAGTCTAAGAGCCTTTAAACTATTTGGAAACTTTGACAGCTTCTCTCGTATAACTTTCTCTTGATTTCCATGGCATTAGAGCCGGGGAAATATTAGTTGGCATATGACTTCGAGCTATCGACTAATGTCTTCAAATTTCATTTATTATTCAATTTATTCAAGTTAATTTATCATAGTTGGTGAATTTCCTTCCCCATCCGAAAATGCATCATTATAACAAGAATTTTTCAATAATCAGAATATTTTTCGAGAATTTTCCAAAATTAACATGAAAAACTGGATTTCTCTCTCTCTCTCCCTCCCTTTTTCCCTCTCTCTCTCTCTCTCTCTCTTTCTCTCTCCCTCTCCCCCCCTCTCTCTATCTCTTTCTTTCTCTCTCTCTCTCTCTCTCTCTCTCTCTCTCTCTCTCGCAAGAAAACACCCCCGGCATCTTCTCCAATCTAATATAGAGTGGTAAAGAGAAAAGTTTCTACCGGAAATCCACGAAATATTTGTGGATTGTCGAGCAGAAATGTGTGGTCATAGGTCAGGAAGGGTCATCGAATGGCCTGAGGGAAAACACTCTTATATAGCAATATCTACACCCACACACACACACATATATGTATGTGTGTGTGTGTTCCTTATTCAAATATTTACAAAAGCGCTTGAGAGAACATCGTAAAAGTAATTGAAGTTTTTCGCCCGAATTTCATAACTCATAACATCTAATTTCCATACAAATGGCTACCAATTTCATTCATGAATACCTCTCAGAGATTCAGTATATATATATTTTATAGTTCTCATTTATTTATTCTTTGTAATTAATTCAGAATCTTTTTTTTTTTTATCATATTTGTTAGCGTGTCACTTCTCTCTTTTCTTTAACTTTTCTTACTCTCTCTCTCTCTCCCACCCCCTATCTGTCTCTATCTATCTGCCCATCTATATTTGATAATAATGACATCCATCTTAATCTACATTCACACTTATGTGTATGGAATTCATGTCAAACAAACTGCAAGTAAAACAACGAAGGAAAGTACAGGAAAACACACGAATATACCGAAGGCCTTTTCTCATTTACTGCTTCATCATCTCCTGAAGCAGTGAATACGAAAAAGCCTTCGGCATATTCGTGTGTTTTCCTGTACTTCCCTTCGTTGTTCTACTCACACTTATGTATATATGTAACAGCGCCAATGCTTCATGATTTCTAACACTGCTTTGGAACACAGCAATGTGAATTTACACCGTCACTTTGCATGTTAAATTTGCATGATTTTGATGTTGAAAAAAAGGAATCATATTATTATTAGAGAGAAATTTAGATCGCGAATGTATTTTATCGTGATATTGACAATAATGCTTTAACTTTTTTGGGGGGAAGATCCGAAACTGAGAGCAAATGTGACACCGATTTGGGATTGTACCGAAACAGGGACGGGCAGAAATAAATCGGAGAATCTCTTGCTCATTCTCGCTTTCTCTTACTGTCCCTGTCTCTGTCTGTCTGTTTTTGTCTCTATTTGCCTGTCTGCTTGCCCCGTCCCTTTTTTCTCTCTCTCTCTCTCTTTTTTACTCTTTCCATGTTTTTCTCTTCTCTCTCTCTGCCTTGTCTGTCTGTCTGTCTGTCTGAGAGAGAGAGAGAGAGAGAGAGAGAGAGAGAGAGAGAGAGAGAGAGAGAGAGGAGAGAGAGAGAGAGAGAGAGAGAGAGAGAGAAGATAAATATAGATGCGGAGAGACTGAGAGGAAGTAAGAAAAAAATCAAAGAGAAAAAAAAGAAAAGAAAAGAAAAATTCGCTGTTATCATGAGTGAAACACCCATTCCGTTTGCAACTATATATATTCCTGACTTTTCTTTGCTGTTAAACCGACCGCTGTGCAGAGGACATTTTCCCGCGGGATCATACGTTTTCGTTTTCCTAAGTAAGACAAATGTTCGGAAACTTGTTGCTTGTAAACTAATAAATCATTCTTAAAGAGTTTATGTAAGATGAATGAAGTATTTTCTTGTCTTTTACGAGCGTGAGATAAGATAAAAGAAACAAAGGAAAAATGATAGAGGAAGATGCAAGGTAGTTACGAAGAAAGTTGTGTACTAAGGGCCGGGTTTACCAACGCATATATAGGGTCGTAAGAGGTTTGTTTACATCGTAAATCAAGCTACTCTCTCGTTTCTCACAACAAGCGTATTATTAAAGCACTTCCGAGGTCGTAAACACGTCACCGCACGAGAAACATTAGTAAGTGCCCGAAACCACTCGTAACGTTCATCATGGCGACTCTCCTCCGCTCATTTCAGCCTCATAAATACCTTTGGGAGTGTGCAACTGTGACTTTTCTTTAGGAAAATCAATTCATGTGTAAGAGCAATACATTAAGGAGGCATAGTAACAGAAAAGACAACATGGCTAATGTAAATAAGAATAGCCTTAGCCGATCCGCTCAACAAGTATAGTTTATCATCAGGAACGAATTTTGAATGATAATGTATAACTTCCATCATTATGTTTTTCTCAAGAACAACAAATATTCAATAACGGAGGTTATCAATATATAAGCACACCTCTTAATACCCTCGTAAGGCATGAACTTACTGATGAATAATAAGAATTTTTCTTAACAAATTGATCGTAGTGTATCATAATCCCTTTATGAAATTATAATGAAATGCTTTTGATTGATGTTTAAAAAAATACTATAAATGAGATAAAAGTACTAAGTAAGAGAGAGAGAAAGAGATGGAGACACAGACACACACACATATATTATATATATATATATTTGTGTGTATGTGTGCATTCATATTAATATATGTATGTGTGTGTGTATATTCATATTATTATATGTATGTATGTGTGTGTATTCATATTAAGGTGTGTGTGTGTGTGTGTGTGTGTGTGTGTGTGTGTGTGTGTGTGTGTTTGTGTGTGTATATATATTGATGTATTTATTTATATATACTTATATGAATTTATGAATTAGTTGAAAAAGTTTAAAATTAATGTGAAGGCATTTTCTGGTGAAAGTGACCCATTGCGCCTGACTCTAAAAAAAAATATTAGTTGCTGACATTAAAGTCTTATGACTTTCATTTATTTGCCTTATTGAATTGAACATCATTTTGGAAATACTGTTTAATCACATTTTATATGGATTTTTCATAAAGAAACTGTTATTGGTACGCCTCATTAATGCTGCCTCAGCTCAGCGGTTAACGCTCTGTGATTGGTCGATTTTTTATCCGAGCTAACGCTGATTGGTCGTTAGAGCCGTTCTTTTAGGAAATATAACCTTACGATAACAAGCAATAATAAATACGGTCATAATAGTTACGAGACCCCTACGCCCTCGTTGTTTTGCGTTCGAAAATGGGTCGTAACGTCGCTAGTTGAGAAATCGTTAGTACTTCCCGTAACTTTTACGAGAGATAACGTTTACGAGAGACTTTCGTAATTCCGGCCCCAGATTTCCACAGTAAATGAGTAGGAAGAAGATGAGAAAATAGAATAATGGATAGAAGGAAAACCAAACTAACACATCATATTACCTGAAAAATAATACAAAATAACCGCAAATATAACATACAAACAACTAGCCAGACGAAAACATTTTTTTTGCTCAGAAAGAAAGAAAGAAAAAATAATAAGATAATACATTTTTCATACGTTAGTGTTCCTTTAGAACTACGATCGTAAAAGATAGATTTCTACATATATGTTAGAATAAACACCTTGTTTATGACCTACTTATACGTGTTCTTATATACTATAAACAAGACCTGAGTTGATCATCTTTCAAGGAAAACCGTTATGATAAATGCCACATAAGGCAAATAAATAAAAAATAAACACAAAAGAGCAGATATATTTACACAGGCAGAGATATAAAAATACCCTCCCCCCCTTCTCTCTCTCTCACTCTGTCTCAAACACTCTCTCTTGAAAACACACACACACACACACACACACACACACACACACACAATTCTTAC